CCCAAAATCCCCCCAAAATTCCCCCAAATCCCCAAAAATTCCCCAAAATCCCAAAAAAAAGTCCCCAAAATACCCCCAAAAATCCCCCCAAAATTCCCAAAAATCCCCCAAAATTCCCGAATTTCCCCAAAATCCCCCAAATTTCCCCCAAATCCCCCCAGGCTGGACCTGCTCCGTTCCTGTCGCCGTCCCCCGGCCGAGCGCCCGACGCTGGAGCAGCTCCACGGGCGCCTCTCGGCCCTGCTGGGCCGACCCCTGACCCCTGCTCCGGCCACTCCGGCCACGCTGACCCCCGGCCCGGTCACTCCTCCGGCCGCTCCGGCCACGCTGACCCCCGGCCCGGTCACTCCTCCGGCCACGCCGTTCCCGCTGCTGGAGCCGCTGCCGGACACCGAGGACGTGCTGACGGTCACTCAGGGCCGGGGGGGCGGCCTGGCCTTGGAGTGCGCCTGGCAGCGCGGCCGGAGTGACCGGAGTGACCGCGGTGACCGGAGTGACCGGAGTGACCGCGGTGACCGGAGTGACCACGGTGACTGGAGGGAATGGAGGGAACAGAGTGACCACAGTGACCACGGTGGCTGGAGTGGCTGGAGTGACCGCGGTGGCTGGAGTGGCCAGAGGGAACGGAGTGACCGCAGTGACCACGGTGGCTGGAGTGGCCGGAGTGATTGGAGGGACTGGAGTGACCACAGTGGCTGGAGTGACCGGAATGACCGGAGTGACCGTGGTGACCGGAGCGGCCAGAGTGGCTGGAGTGACCGTGGTGACCACGGTGACCGGGGTGACTGTGGTGGCTGGAGTGGCCGGAGTGGCTGGAATGACCAGAATGACCAGAGTGACCAGAGGAACCGGAATGACCAGAGTGACCACAGCGGCTGGAGTAGCTGGAATGACCGGAGTGACCGGAGTGACCAGATTAGGCAGAGTGACCACAATGATTGGAGTGGCCAGAGTGGCTGGGATGACCAGAGGAACCGGAATGACCGGAGTGACCAGAGTGACCGGATTGGCTGGAGTGGCCACGGTGACCAGAATGACCAGAGTGACCACAATGACCGGAGTGGCCGGAGTGACCGCACTGACCGCACTGACCATGGTGGCCACAGTGGCCGGAGTGACCGCACTGACCCCGGTGGCCGGAGTGACCACAGTGGCCGGAGTGACCACACTGACCACAGTGACCGCACTGACCACAGTGACCGCACTGACCCTGGTGGCCGGAGTGACCACACTGACCACAGTGACCGCACTGACCCCGGTGGCCGGAGTGACCACAGTGGCCAGAGTGACCGCACTGACCCCAGTGGCCGGAGTGACCACAGTGACCGCACTGACCCCGGTGGCCGCAGTGACCACAGTGACCGCACTGACCCCGGTGGCCGGAGTGACCACACTGACCACAGTGACCGCACTGACCCCGGTGGCCGGAGTGACCACACTGACCACAGTGACCGCACTGACCCCGGTGGCCGGAGTGACCACAGTGACCGCGCTGACCCCGGTGGCCGGAGTGACCACACTGACCACAGTGCCCGCACTGACCCCGGTGGCCGCAGCGGCCGGCCCGAGGTGTCCCCGGGGGTGCTGCCGGTGCTGGGGGCGCGAAGCCCCCCGGGGGGCTCCGAGTTCTTCGTCCGATTGGAGGAGCAGGGGGTGACGTCACCGGTGACGTCACAGATGACATCACAGGTGACGTCACAGGTGGCAAAAGCCCCCCCGGACAGGATGGGGGGAGGGGCCGGAGTTTTGGCGGCGGTGGCGTGGGGGAGGGGCCGGACGTTGGGGCAGGAGGGGTCAGCGATGGGTCAGGAGTGGACATTGACCCAGGACCGGACACTGACCCCAGACCGGTCAGCGATGGGTCAGGAGTGGACATTGACCCAGGACCGGACATCGGTGACCCAGGACTGGACACTGACCCCAGACCGGTCAGCGATGGGTCAGGAGTGGACATTGACCCAGGACCGGACATCGGTGACCCAGGACCGGACACTGAGCCCAGACCGGTCAGTGATGGGTCAGGAGTGGACATTGAGCCAGGAGCAGTCACTGAGCCAGGACCGGACCCTGACCCCAGACCGGTCATCATTGACCCCAGACCGGTCATCATTGGGTCAGGAGTGGACATTGAGCCAGGAGCGGTCACTGAGCCAGGACCGGACCCTGACCCCAGACCGGTCAGTGATGGGTCAAGACCGGACACTGAGCCCAGACCGGTCAATACTGACCCAGGGCTGGACATCGCTGGCCCAAGCAAGGCCAACGGCCCAAGGGGTGCCACCGCTGTCCCTGGAGATGACCCCGTGGGGACAAAACCGGACATCGGTGACCCCAGACCGGTCATCGCTGGCCCAAGCAAGGCCAACGGCCCAAGGGGTGCCACCGCTGTCCCTGGAGATGACCCCGTGGGGACAAAACCGGACACTGTCCCAGGACCGGTCACTGTCACCGTTGTCACCGGAGGTGGCGCCTTGGGGACAATTCCGGACATCGGTGACCCCAGACCGGTCATCGCTGGCCCAAGCAAGGCCAACGGCCCAAGGGGTGCCACCGCTGTCCCTGGAGATGACCCCGTGGGGACAAAACCGGACACTGGGCCAGGACCGGTCACTGTCACCTTTGTCACCGGAGGTGGCGCCTTGGGGACAAAACCGGACATCGGTGACCCCAGACCGGACATCACCGACCCAGGACCGGACATTGACCCCAGACCGGTCATCGCTGGCCCAAGCAAGGCCAACGGCCCAAGGGGTGCCACCGCTGTCCCTGGAGATGACCCCGTGCGGTCAAGGCTGGACATCGGGCCAGGACCGGTCACTGTCACCTTTGTCACCTGAGGTGGCCCCTTGGGGACAAAACCGGACATCGCTGACCCAAGCAGGGTCGGTGGCCCAAGAGGCGTCAGCGCTGTCCCTGGAGATGACCCCGTGGGGACAAAACCGGACACTGGGCCAGGACCGGTCATCGCTGGGTCAAGAGGGGGCTTTGTCACCTTTGTCCCCTGAGGAGGCGCCTTGGGGACAAAACCGGACATTGGTGACCCCGGACCGGTCAATATTGACCCAGGACCGGTCATCGTTGGGTCAGGAGTGGACACTGACCCCAGAGCGGTCACTCCTGACCCCAGACCGGTCACTCCTGACCCCAGACCGGTCACTCCTGACCCCAGACCGGTCACTCCTGACCCCAGACCGGTCACTCCTGACCCCAGACCGGTCACTCCTGACCCCAGACCGGTCACTCCTGACCCCAGACCGGTCACTCCTGACCCCAGACCGGTCACTCCTGACCCCAGACCGGTCACTCCTGACCCCAGACCGGTCACTCCTGACCCCAGACCGGTCACTCCTGACCCCAGACCGGTCACTCCTGACCCCAGACCGGTCACTCCTGACCCCAGACCGGTCACTCCTGACCCCAGACCGGTCACTCCTGACCCCAGACCGGTCACTCCTGACCCCAGACCGGTCACTCCTGACCCCAGACCGGTCACTCCTGACCCCAGACCGGTCACTCCTGACCCCAGACCGGTCACTCCTGACCCCAGACCGGTCACTCCTGACCCCAGACCGGTCACTCCTGACCCCAGACCGGTCACTCCTGACCCCAGACCGGTCACTCCTGACCCCAGACCGGTCACTCCTGACCCCAGACCGGTCACTCCTGACCCCAGACCGGTCACTCCTGACCCCAGACCGGTCACTCCTGACCCCAGACCGGTCACTCCTGACCCCAGACCGGTCACTCCTGACCCCAGACCGGTCACTCCTGACCCCAGACCGGTCACTCCTGACCCCAGACCGGTCACTCCTGACCCCAGACCGGTCACTCCTGACCCCAGACCGGTCACTCCTGACCCCAGACCGGTCACTCCTGACCCCAGACCGGTCACTCCTGACCCCAGACCGGTCACTCCTGACCCCAGACCGGTCACTCCTGACCCCAGACCGGTCACTCCTGACCCCAGACCGGTCACTCCTGACCCCAGACCGGTCACTCCTGACCCCAGACCGGTCACTCCTGACCCCAGACCGGTCACTCCTGACCCCAGACCGGTCACTCCTGACCCCAGACCGGTCACTCCTGACCCCAGACCGGTCACTCCTGACCCCAGACCGGTCACTCCTGACCCCAGACCGGTCACTCCTGACCCCAGACCGGTCACTCCTGACCCCAGACCGGTCACTCCTGACCCCAGACCGGTCACTCCTGACCCCAGACCGGTCACTCCTGACCCCAGACCGGTCACTCCTGACCCCAGACCGGTCACTCCTGACCCCAGACCGGTCACTCCTGACCCCAGACCGGTCACTCCTGACCCCAGACCGGTCACTCCTGACCCCAGACCGGTCACTCCTGACCCCAGACCGGTCACTCCTGACCCCAGACCGGTCACTCCTGACCCCAGACCGGTCACTCCTGACCCCAGACCGGTCACTCCTGACCCCAGACCGGTCACTCCTGACCCCAGACCGGTCACTCCTGACCCCAGACCGGTCACTCCTGACCCCAGACCGGTCACTCCTGACCCCAGACCGGTCACTCCTGACCCCAGACCGGTCACTCCTGACCCCAGACCGGTCACTCCTGACCCCAGACCGGTCACTCCTGACCCCAGACCGGTCACTCCTGACCCCAGACCGGTCACTCCTGACCCCAGACCGGTCACTCCTGACCCCAGACCGGTCACTCCTGACCCCAGACCGGTCACTCCTGACCCCAGACCGGTCACTCCTGACCCCAGACCGGTCACTCCTGACCCCAGACCGGTCACTCCTGACCCCAGACCGGTCACTCCTGACCCCAGACCGGTCACTCCTGACCCCAGACCGGTCACTCCTGACCCCAGACCGGTCACTCCTGACCCCAGACCGGTCACTCCTGACCCCAGACCGGTCACTCCTGACCCCAGACCGGTCACTCCTGACCCCAGACCGGTCACTCCTGACCCCAGACCGGTCACTCCTGACCCCAGACCGGTCACTCCTGACCCCAGACCGGTCACTCCTGACCCCAGACCGGTCACTCCTGACCCCAGACCGGTCACTCCTGACCCCAGACCGGTCACTCCTGACCCCAGAGCGGTCACTCCTGACCCCGGAGCCGCCCCCGGTGCCCCCCAGGACGTCGCCGTTGTCACCGGCGGTGGCACCTTGGGGACGAGGGACGACCCCTCTGACCCCGGCCACGTCCCCGAGGCCACCAGAGGGGTCAGCAGGGCCACCAAAAGGGTCCCCAGGGCCACCAAAAGAGTCCCCAAGGCCACCAGAGATGTCCCCAAGGCCACCAGGAGCTGGGGACCCCCTTGGGGACACCCCCAGGGACCCCTTGGGTGGCACCGTGGCGGGGGGGTGTCCCCAAATGTCCCCAAAAATGTCCCCAGGGGGGTCCCCGATATCCCAGATGTCCCCAGAAAGGTCCCAAATGTCCCCAAAATCATGCCAGATGTCCCCAGAATTGTCCCCAATGTCCCCAGGGGGGTCCCCAATGTCCCCAGAGGGGTCCCAAATGTCCCCAAAATCCTCCCCGATGTCCCCAGGGGGGTCCCAGATCCCCCAAATGTCCCCAGGGGGGTCCCTGATATCCCAAATGTCCCCAAAATCGTCCCAAATGTCCCCAAAATTGTCCCAAATGTCCCCAAAACCGTCCCCAAAGGGGTCCCCCAGGAGGTCCCCAAAAACGGGCAGGGGGTCCCCGAGGAAACGCCGCGAGGTGACCCCGAAAATGTCCCCAAAATGCCCCGAAATGTCCCCAAAAAAGTCCCCGAAAACATCCCTGAGGGGACAGAGGGACCCGTCCCCAAAAATGTCCCCAAAAAACCAAGAAATGTCCCCAAAAAAGTCCCCAAAAAGCTCCGAAATGTCCCCAAAAAAGTCCCAAAAAATGTCCCCAAAAAACCAAGAAATGTCCCAAAAAAAATCCCCAAAAATGTCCCCAAAAAGCTCTGAAATGTCCCCAAAAATGTCCCCGAAAAACCAAGAAACGGCCCCAAAAATGCCCAAAATCTCCCCCAAAACCCCGGAAATGTCCCCAAAAGTGCCCCAAATGTCCCCAAAAACTCCTGAAATGTCCCCAAAACGCCTCAAAACCTCCCCAAAAACGTCCCCGGGACATCCCAAAACGTCCCCAAAAAGTCCCAAAATGTCCCCAAAACCACTGGAAACGTCCCTGGGTGTGTCCGTGACGTCATCAAGTATGTCCGTGACGTCACCAGGTGTGTCTGTGACGTCACCAAGTATGTCTCTGACGTCATCATCTGTGTCTGTGACGTCACCAGGTGTGTCTGTGACGTCACCAGGTGTGTCCCCAGCCCCAGGTGTCCCCCCAGGTGTATCTGTGACGTCACCAGGTGTGTCTATGACCTCATCAAGCGTGTCTGTGACGTCATCAAGTGTGCCTGTGACATCCCCAGGTGTGTCAGTGACGTCACCGGGTGTGTCAGTGACATCACCAGGTGTGTCAGTGACATCACCAGGTGTGTCCCCAGGTGTGTCCCCAGGTGTGTCAGTGACATCATCAGGTGTGTCCGTGACATCACCAGGTGTGTCAGTGACGTCACCAGGTGTATCAGTGATGTCACCAGGGGTGTCCCCAGCTGTGTCCCCAGGTGTGTCAGTGACATCACCGGGTGTGTCCCCAGCCCCAGGTGTGTCCCCAGGTGTGTCAGTGACGTCCCCAGGTGTATCAGTGATGTCCCCAGGTGTGTCAGTGACGTCACCAGGTGTGTCCCCAGGTGTGTCCCCAGCCCCAGGTGTGTCAGTGACGTCCCCAGGTGTGTCTGTGACGTCACCGGGTGTGTCCCCAGGTGTGTCCCCAGCCCCAGGTGTGTCAGTGACGTCACCGGGTGTGTCAGTGACATCACCAGGTGTGTCCCCAGCCCCAGGTGTGTCTGTGACGTCACCGGGTGTGTCAGTGACGTCCCCAGGTGTGTCAGTGACGTCCCCAGGTGTGTCAGTGACGTCACCAGGTGTGTCAGTGACGTCCCCAGGTGTGTCAGTGACGTCCCCAGGTGTATCAGTGACGTCACCAGGTGTGTCAGTGACGTCCCCAGGTGTGTCAGTGACGTCCCCAGGTGTGTCAGAGACGTCACCAGGTGTGTCAGTGACGTCCCCAGGTGTGTCCCCAGCCCCAGGTGTGTCTCCAGGTGTGTCAGTGACGTCACCAGGTGTGTCAGTGACGTCCCCAGGTGTATCAGTGACGTCACCAGGTGTGTCCGTGACGTCCCCAGGTGTGTCAGTGACGTCCCCAGGTGTGTCAGTGACGTCACCAGGTGTGTCCCCAGCCCCAGGTGTGTCCCCAGGTGTGTCCCCAGGTGTGTCAGTGACGTCACCAGGTGTGTCCCCAGCCCCAGGTGTGTCCCCAGGTGTGTCCCCGTGCCCGGGGGCGTGGCCGGTGGCCCGCGAGCGGCTCCAGGTGTCCCTGAGCGAGGCGGTCTCGGTCTCCCGGCGCCTCCTGCGGGACCCCCCGGGGGGAGGGGGGGAGGGGCGCCCCTCCCCCACCCGCGGCAGCAGCGCCGACATCCGAGGTGGGGGAGGGGCAGAGCCCGGCGGTTTTTGGGGGGGAAAAATGGGATTTTGGGAGGGGGAAATTTGGGATTTATTGGGAATTTTGGGGATTTATTGGGAATTTTTGGAATTTATTGGGAATTTTTGGGGATTTATTGGGAATTTTTCGGATTTATTGGGAAAATTTGGGATTTTTTGGGAATTTTTGGAATTTATTGGGAATTTTTGGGGATTTATTGGGAATTTTTCGGATTTATTGGGAAAATTTGGGATTTTTTGGGAATTTTTGGAATTTATTGGGAATTTTTGGGGATTTATTGGGAATTTTTCGGATTTATTGGGAAAATTTGGGATTTTTTGGGAATTTTTGGAATTTATTGGGAATTTTTGGGGATTTATTGGGAATTTTTCGGATTTATTGGGAAAATTTGGGATTTTTTGGGAATTTTTGGAATTTATTGGGAATTTTTGGGGATTTATTGGGAATTTTTCGGATTTATTGGGAAAATTTGGGATTTTTTGGGAATTTTTGGAATTTATTGGGAATTTTTGGGGAAATTTTGGGATTTATTGGGAATTTTTGGGATTTATTGGGAATTTGGGGATTTATTGGGAATTTTGGGGATTTATTGGGAATTTTTGGGGGAAATTTGGGGATTTATTGGGAATTTTTGGGGAAATTTGGGGATTTATTGGGAATTTTTGGGGAAATTTGGGGATCTATTAGGAATTTTTGGGATTTATTGGGAATTTGGGGGATTTGGGGGAAAAAAATGGGATTTTGGGGGAAAATTTGAGGATTTATTGGGAATTTTGGGGGAAATTTGGGGGTTTGGGGAAAAAAAATGGGATTTTGGGGGGAAATTTGGGGATTTATTGGGAAATTTCCGGGATTTATTTGGAAATTTTGGGGATTTATTGGGAAATTTGGGGGAATTTTGGGGATTTATTGGGAAATTTTGGGGATTTATTGGGAAATCTGGGGGAAATTTGGGAAGTTTGGGGGGAAATTTGCGTTTTGGGGGGGAAATTTCAGGACTTTAGGGGGGAAATTTGGGGATTTTGGGAGAGAATTTGGGGATTTTACCCTCCCCAAATCCAAATTTTCCCCTTCTGGGCCTCACCCTGACGCTCTTCCCTCGCTTTTTTCCCTCATTTCTCTTCACTTTTCCCTCATTTTCCTCA